TATGTTTTCCTGTTGATATTATTTTTTGTTACCTTCTTCAGAATGCGATGATACTGGTGGAAATATGATGGGCGGTGTATTTATTTAACATTGCATCTCCCATAGTAATAAATTGAGCATAAACTACTGCACCCATGGGTCCTACAGGGCTGGTGCTCCCAGGGGCCATCCCAGGGTTGGTGGACATCTCAGGAACCCTCTCAGTTGCCGCGACGCCCCCAGGGTGTCCCCCAGTGGTGACGGTGCCCCCAAGGGCCCTCGCAACATCAGCGGCATCCTCAGGTGCATTCTCAGGATCGACGGCACCCCAGGGACCCTGACTGGAGCAACGGAGCCTGCAGGGACCTATCCAGGGGCAGCGCAGCCCCCAGGGACCATCCCAGAAACCGTTCCAGGGGTAGTGGCGCACTGGAAACACTCCCAGGGTCGGTGGCGCCCCCAGGGACCCTCCCAGGGGCGGTGGTGCACCTGGGGTACCTCTCATTGGAAGAGGAATGCCCAGGGACCATTCCATGGGCAGCAGAGCCTCCAGGGACCGTCCCAGAGACCCTTCCGGGGATGGTGGCACCTCAAAGGACACTCCCAGGGGCATCCACACCCCCAGAGACCTTTCCAGGGATGGTAGTGCCCCCTGAGACCTTCCCAGGGGTCCCAGGGGGCCCTATGGCATGCTTGTTTGTTGTGTCATATTTTCGTACATTACATACTTCCCAAAGTCCCTTACTTAACTATGATTGGTGGATTATTATTTTGACCCACCAAATTACAGCCAATAGAAGAGAGCAGTCAGTCAGCACAACACCCCAACTTATGTTTTCCTGTTGATATGATTCTCTGTTACCTTCTTCAGAATGCGATGATGACACTGGAAATGTCATGGACGGTGTATTTATTTAACGTTGCACCTCCCAGAGTTCTGAATAGAGTAAAAGCTACTTCACCCATTGATCCTACAGGTCTGACGCTCCCAGGGACCCTCACGGGGACAACGGCTACCCTCCCAGGGACATAGACACACGCAGGGAGTCTACCAGGGGCAGCAGTGTCTCCAGGGACTCTTCCAGGCACCGCGGGTCCCCAGGGACAATCCCAGGGGCGGCGGCACCCATGGGATCCCTCTCACTGAAGACAGCGCTGCCAGGGACCTTCCCAGTGGCAGCATCCCCAGGGTACCTTCCAGGGGCGGTGGAGCTCCATGGGACCGCCCCAGGGGCAGCCGCACACCCAGGGACCCTCCCAGGCACAGCGGCGCCCCCAGAGACTCTCCCAGGGGCCGCAGAACCCCCAGAGACCAGCGCAGGGAAAGCTGTACCTCCAGGGACCATCCCAGTGGCAGTTGTACCTCCAGGGACCCACCCAGGGACAGTGTCTGCCCCCAGGGTCCTTCCCAGGGGCGCCGGTGCCCCCGGGAACCCTCCCAAGGACAACTGCGTTGCCAGTGACCATCCCAGGGACGTTGGCGATGCCAAGGACCTTCACAGGGGCGGCGCCCCACCCAGGGACCCTACCAAGTGTCCCCAAGGGCCCTATGGCATGCATGTTTGTTGTGTCATATATATTACCTACTTGCAGAAGTCCCTTACTTAACTATGATTGGTGGACTATTCTTTTAACCCACCAAATCACAGCCAATAGGAGAAGAGAGCAGTCAGTCTGCACAACACCCCAACTTATGATTTCCTGTTGGATATGATTCTCTGTTACCTCCTTCAGAAGGCGATGAGGAATACTGGAAATGTTATGGGCGGTGTATATATTTAACGTTGCATCTCCCTTAATTCTAAATGGAGCAAAAACTACTGCACCCAGGGAGGGTTCTTACGGGCACCGACACCCCTGGGAGGGTCCCTGGCGGCGCTGCAGCCCCTGGGAAGCTCCTTGGGGGCACCAAAGCCCCTAGAGGGTCCTTGGGGGCACTGCTGCCCCTGAGAGGTTCCCTGGGTGCACAGTTGCCCCTGTGGGGGTCCCTGTGGGAAACTGCTGTCCCTGCGTATGCAGCTGTTTCTGGGAGGATCCCTGGGGGCTCTGCCGCCCCAATCAGGGTACCTGGGGACGCTGACTCACCTGGGAGGGTACCTGGCGGCGCCTTCGTAACTAGGAGGGTCCCTGGCGGCGCCGTTGTTCCTGGGAGGGTTCCCGGGGGCGCCGCCACCTCAGAGAGGATCCCTGGGACCCCTTGACAGACCCTAAGCATTGATATTAAAATACTATAATTAGAATGAACAAAGAAAATGTATTTTAAAACAATGGATATATTCTTTAAGTTACTTAGTATTTTCATTAATACACCAGTAGTGTATTACTGGCACCATAAGGAATTCAAACAAGAAACACAAGATACAATAAAAGTATTTTATTCTGTAAGAAGCCAAATCAAAATGTACACCGGAGCAACAACGTGTTCCTTCCAACATTTGTACAGTAATATGAAATCCTATCACGCACTGATCAAATTCTTAATGACAAGTCTCTCCTAAGTTAATAACGTTGCAAAATTGCCTTCCCCAGGCTGGGTCAGATGAGGGTGGTGGGTCACTAACGGCCCATGAAACCTTATATTCATGGCCAGAAGTTGTTTTATGTAAATACCAAGATACTTAAGTGTTTTAATCAGACAATCACAGCTAGTTCTACGATATTAAAGGGTCACACGACCAATCACGGGTAACACATACCTTGGGCTTTAACTGAGCAATCACAGGTGATAAAACACACCTTTGGCCCCTACATATTAACTGGGGATAACACAATACACCCATCCTAGCCTGGTCACTCCCATATCACCAAGGCATGCTATACAGTCTCTCACAGATCAAATACTGTACCTCCTTTTACCATTTGAAGTTTTTACTAAAGTTTAAATAACAGGTGTAGCACCCCTCTCACCTTGGCCCACCAGCTTGAGTGGGTTTCTTATTACAAAAATTGCATATCAGTGGATATGTTATCGTCTCTCTCATTGTGTACACAAACTCAATGAGAAACTTGTATTTCAAAATTACTTGCTGGTTATGTGAAAAAATTAAAATAGACAATTTGTATCAGCCAACAAATGCTGAGTAAAAATAAAAAAGTTTTCTTCATGTTAAAACCAAAGGAAGTTTGGTCAGACAAGTCTAAGCAACTAAGGTCGTACAGTTGTTCAGGGCAAACAACCCCCCCAAGTCAATAAATACTAAACACTAAAATTTCTGAACAAAATTATTTCACAAAAATGGAACTTTGCCTCATAATCAAGATATGTACTACACTGTGTAAACAAAATTCTTCAATCAAGAATATCTTAAATATGCTTTAAGACCCACAATATGAAGTCTGTAGTAATTTTCTTATGGAATTACAAAGATTATCAAGAATCAGTCACAAGCTGTGTCAGAGCAAGTTACTCAGACATTCTGTCAGCGAGTCGGTCAGTCGAGGATGGTATTCAGGATTAGTATTCATAGAGCTTACCAAAGCATAAAAAAGAAGTTTGTACGTACGTAGTTTAACTTACTCGTCATAAATAATTTTATGAATGGCACTGGCCACCAAGAGGTAGCCAATGGCCCATGTACCCGGTAATGAGGACAATTATCTTAATATATACTGTACTGTCTTAAGAATGTGTGATGAAGTATTGAACCTTTCCAGATGCCTCAAACATACTACCATGGACCCCATTCTTTGATGTCTTTGGGCTGTGCTGCAGAGCGCTCTTGTGATCACTGACACACTTCAATCTAATTGCAGGGCAAAATTAAATAAATAAATAGTATTTAAAGTAACAAAAAATATTTTGTAACATAAAATTAATGTAGTATACATACTGTACTGTCCACAGACAAGCCAGTTAATGAAGAAAAAACATTTGCCACATATTCAAGCTTCCTCAAAATAAAGAATATTATCGACTTGTGCAGGATTTTAGCACAATCATAAATTAATGAAAAGAAACTAACTATATGGAGACTTTTTCCTTACAAATCAAACATACTGTACTGTAAATAAAATGTAATTTTTGAAAAATTTAGTTAAATATTATTCATTCAATCATTCACATTGTTAAAATTTTGATTAATGAAAGGTAAAATTTGTGGTAGATCAAAATGTTGATGAAGGCCACCAGAGGGGTGATGATGATGTCAGGGATCCAGTTGGCTGGTTGCTGATGGTGGACAATATTTTGTTGTTATTTATCCTTGGTAATTCAAGATTAAATATGGCAGTTTAATGAGATTAGATTATGTTTTTGCCAGCAAGAAAGTACATATTCACACATTCATTCATGTATATTTGAGAAAAATTAAAATTTGAAACTCATTATCAGATCTTAACAAAATTCGCATTATTTTTTTATATGTGCTCTATCCTAAACCATGATTACAGGTCAATCTAGACATCACATTCTTTCCAGATCCTTATACCATAAAATCAAGATGCAAGATGTCTCAATAAATTTGTCTTCCCAGTATAATCCCAACCCAAGATTTGGCACATTTATAAAAAGGTAAAATTAATTAGCAGGTAATTCCTTTAACATGTCCTTAGTATCCAGTGAGTTTACATACCAAGAGTATATCTGAACTATAAGAAAAACATTGTATTACTAAATCTTTTGAGATGTAATTATAAACAAGATAAATCCTGAATTACCAGAGGATGTTTGAAGCCACTCGTTCATTAATGCCAAAAAGCTTCACAAAATATATGCATTAAAATATTTAGCTAGAATGAAGTGTTTTGAATATCTATCTGAATATTAAATGTCTTCTAAAACATAACCATATTAAAAAAACTCTAATAAGGCACCTGTGCCTTCTTTTTTGAATGAGAGTTTTGCACTAAAAAAGTTGTTTCTAGTTGAAGTATTAATAACAATAAAACATTGGTACAGTCCCTTAAGCAACAAATATTATATATTATCTTCAGATATGTTAATATGAACTTGTAACTGGATCCCTGGTAAAGCTTTAAGTTCCAATGGTAGATAAAATTAACAATATTTAACCTAAATCACCATTTGCTTTTAAATTTTGTTATTAACATGAACAAGTGATGCTCGTCAAATACAATCCAATAGTGAGTTCGTGATAACGGCTGACCATAAGCGTTACCTTTCTAAGTAAGATAGGGGCCCTTGCCCTGATGGAATATGCCACTTTACCCTAATGCCTGACGACAAAATTGCAGAACACCAGAGGCCGGAGAGTCCGAGGACACCCAAGTTATGGAATGATCGCTAGAATGGAATGACACCTATTGTGACTACTTCCTTTACATGGACCACCTATCATGTTACCTTTCAACCATGGTATCACCTCATACTAGGATGCTTGGTAGCCTTGTGTTGTTCAGAACCCATAATGACTTCCCTCATGCAGAATAATTTTCCCAAGTGATTCACGTATATCCTAGCTATATTTTTCATAAGTTCAAGTCTTATACTTTTAATATAATTTCAATTGACATCCACATAATAAAATGGCTGCCCGACCATCTGTTAGATCTAATGTCCTCAGACAAACGAACAGCCATCTTCACACCTGAGTTTGCTGACCCTATCACAGGCTGGCCAGGACAACAAAGTATAATAACATGGACTCCACAGCATCATGATCACAGTATGAACACATATACAGATGATGATGACGGTGATGATAATGAACACAGCACACAGACCAGCTACACATGGGTGAATCACTAAGCTCACCACATAACTCACCTACAGTGCTCTAGGTAACATAGCCTCAACCCACACCTAACACTCATGACTTACTCTGCTTTAGTACCAGTGGGTCATACTTCAGTGCTGGACATCTACAACAAAAACTGTTAATACCCAGTAAGTGTGAAAATATCCTGAATGTACTGATGTACTTACGGTAATTCATCAAGGCATGACCTATGATTATTACGAGCCAGCACCTCCATATGTCACCACAAACACTAGGCATCGTAAACCATGATATGAACATTCAACTCCAGTGTTCCACGCTTGAAGAATACGGGAAAGAAATGATACTTTCTGGTATTCATATCTTTTTTTTTTCCTTCCTTGAGGCTGTGTTATAAATGGCCGAAGCATCTTCTGCTTACACTTTTCTATCATACCTGAGCATAACAGCACGACACTTGTTTTTCGCAAGAAGGCTATTGGTGTGAACACTTATGGGAGGTATGTCAGCACTCTGCATACCAGTAACTCACCTACACAGACCACTCAATATGTTCCAACAAAGTCCAATTACTTCCATAATGAAAGACACCAATTTGTTACCAATTATCTATAAAAATAAGGTAATCAACATAGTTCCTTGAAATCACAAGCACAATGCCAGTCTAGTAGTGCCCAAGTTTCATGCTCGTCTCTATTTAAATATTATCACATGAGGCAAAACCACACCACCTATGATTCTGATGGATTTTCAGATTCATAATTGGAATTTCAGCAGTCAAATTTGCATAAGTCTTTTCCAATCACTACAAAGAACATTCCAATCCAGCACATACGAAGCCAACCACTTCACTGTTGACAAGTAACACCACCACAGTCAATGGAGACACAAACCTTTCCTTGCATCTTTCAACCTAATATCTTATGGGGCCTTTAAGCACAAAATAAAAATCTGTAATTTAGTCAATGTAAAACTTAAGTGTTCACTTTTACAAAAACTTTTTAAGCCAGATTTAAACTGATCATTTTACCAAATATAATTGTTTCATTTTGACAATGTTTTCTCTCGTACGTCACTTTTCCTCACCCTTGTTTCATCCTGTTTTTGTACTTCCTTACACCACACCCAGCAGGTTTGCACCACACATAAATACCCTTGTCTTCCGCTTAATGTAGTTATTTTCATGTTATTCCAGGTGAATGGAATGCCTTCACAAATCCACACATATCACTGATGAGAATAAAAACCCAGCACTTTATTTTCAGCTTTCATCAATACTTCTTCAGATGTATGCCATTGGCTCCACTTGGAAAATCCACTATCCAAACCCCATGTCTTTGATATGGGATGTCAACTGTTACAACCTCCCCACTAGTGTGCCCAGGTGGTCCAGCCACAGGGTCATCTGCGGTTGAGGTTGTTGCACCTCACTTGGCTGGTGGAGCTGCTGCTAGACCTGAGGGAGCTCCCACCGGCACTGGCGTCTGTCCCACTCCCAGTGCTGCAACAACATAAACAATTACTCTAACACTCAAGTGATAACAAAAACCTTGCAAACAGAATCTTTTTGACCTCTTAATTATCACACTTTCATGTTATCACTGAACAGTTATCTTTGGGTTAAAAAATATAAATTAACTACTGTACATGAATAATTGGTATCATTTGTTCATTACAAACTATAATATAAATGCTTTCTTAGAGCAATAACTTAATCAGAATAAGTCAAAAGCCTTATCTCCTGATATCATTAAGCAATAGAGTGCATAGCATGATGAAGCCTTACCTGCATAATGATACTGTGGGGGGATCAAAGAGTAGGGAGAGAAGCCGTCATGCAGGTGGTGTGTGGGGGGACGCGCTGTGGGGGGAGACCGCCCCTCTACCCCTCCTCCCATGGACCCACTCCCTCCGTGGGTCAAGGATGAGGAGGAAGAAGGTATGGAGCTGGAGGCAGAAGAGGAAGAAGTGACTGGTGTCAGTGGAGATCCATCTTTACTTGCCATTGGAGACCCCACCTTTTGAGGGGTGCTCAGTAAGCTGGGGGGTGTCATACACAAGGCAGCTGATGACAGAGGAGACTTTCTAGGTCGCTCTTGCAGCTCATGAATTTTATGACTTGAATAAAGATGGGCAGGGTGGATCATCGCTCCACTTGACCCACCTCGGGACAGGTCCTCTGGTGTATTACTGACTGCAGGATTAAGAGGGAACCTGGACACCATCCCCGGTGGAGCCAAGTAATGTGTTGGTGGATACCCTGGAGGCATGGCCATTGTGGGTACCATAGAAGGACGATAAGGGTCATAAGGTAGAGGACTGTAAGGGAATGATGGGTAGTAAGCCGTCGATGTCGGAGGTGGTGGGGGACCCGTCGTTTCCATGGTTGGCTTCACTCCTTCACTCTTGATATCAGGTTTTTTGTCCCCCCGATCATCTTTACTGTTTGCTGAGCCTGCAGGGGGTGTAGACACAACTCGAGGACTAGAGAGAGATGCTGGGGGTGAAGGCTTAGGTAGTCCCATGACTTTATCCCCAGGCTTCTCTTGAAGTTGTGTTTGTAGTGGCAAGCGCTGATCAAATGGATATCGATACGCAATCGTGGGTTCGTCAAAGGGTCGTTTATCAACAGGTAGTTGGCCCTTAAGTTCATGTGCCTCTTTGAGTATTGCATGATTTTCTGCTTGTTTATCTTTTACCATTCCTAATTTATCTTTCAACACAACAGGAGAAGATACAGGTCCGGGAATACCAGGCGCAGATCTTGATAAATCCGTGGGACCTTTATCTCCTTCTCTGACTTGTACTAACTCTTTATTCTCAGCTTCCTTATATATTTGCGCGTCTCTTAAAAATGGATCTGTATAACCAGGATATAAGTAATGGGATGCATATAGATACTGAGGAGGAATTTTATTAAGAAATTCATTATTGCCTGGAGGAGGTAAAGTATCTCTTTTATCACTATCACCAGTTTTATCCTTTGGGTCTTTACTGTCCCCATCCTTACCGGGTGTGGTAGACGGTGGGGGTTGTATTGGAGGAATGAGGAAGGGTGGCTGTCCATATGGACTGGGGTAATACATTCCATAGGGAGGATAAGGTTGTGCACCCAGAGGTAATTCAGGTTTCTTATCGTCTTGCATGTCTTTATTATCACTGTCTCCGTCTAACACAGGCGCAGTATCATTAGCGTCGGATATATCGGAATAAGCAGGACTGCGGGCATCCTCTCTAGTAGGTTGGTCTTCTTCTCTAGTGTCTTTACCTATTAAACCATTCATTAAGTCTTTTGGTTTGTTTTTATCTGGTTCTAAAAGTGACTGTTTTACAGTTATTAAACCAGGAGAATTGCCAGGAAGGCTCGACAGTGGAGTGCCTTGAGGTGTCATGGGTAAACTAGATGTAACTGGAGATCCTGCAGGAAGAGGTCCTGGTGGCCTGGGACCCGTTGTTCCGACTCTCATCATCATCTCTGGACGAACATCAGGTCGAACTAGTCCCGGTCTAACTTGAGGAATGCTGCCAGAAATAGGTGACATACCCAGAGCAGGAGAGCCTACCTGTGGATGCTGTGGACTTACCACGCCACCAGAACCCGTGTACATAAACACTGCCTGGTTGGGTTGTGGTAAACGTGTTTGGATGACACTGGGTTGAGTTGTAGGAAGTGGTGTCGTCGCCTTGGTAGCTTCTTCGCTGGGACCAGGGCTCGGCGTTGCTGGTGGACCCGTGTAACGCAGAACTGAAGGCTTGACAACATCTTGGGCCGACTTATCCACAGGTGTCTCTACAACAGGCGTAGGAGAAGACGGTTGACTCTCTTCCACTTCACTCTCGGCTCGACCTTCCGTGCTGGTTGTCTCATCATCGTTCGTGACGCTGTTGTGGGCATGACTCTGATGATACTTTAACCCGTTGATGTGTTTGTACTTCTTGTTACAGTTAGGCTCGGGACACTCTATCAGCTGAGGGGATGAAGGTTGTTCTGGCCCAGGACTGGTTGCACCATTGGTTGGTGTTCCACGGGAAGAAGCACGCGACCGCTTCCAGTTTTTCGTCTCTGGTACCTCTGGCTCCCGACCCTTACGTTTGGTCCCACCAGGTTCGGATTTGACTGGACTAGGAGGAGGATTAAAGGTAGGAGTAACATTCCCTCTGCGCCCCTTCACATTGGCATTACGTAATTTGCCACTGCGGGTTTCTGCTACACTGAGGTCGTTGCCGGGCGTACCAGCAGTTGTAGTGGCAGCCCGCCCCCTCTTGCCCCGACCTTTGGGCGTCCGAGACTCTATATCACTGGTAGGCGAGTCACAGAACCTGGTGGGAAGAGAGGGGAGAGAGGCGAGTCAGTTGACACAGTAGCCACTCACCCCACACACCACAACACTCACCCTATACTCTCAAGTCTAAGGAAAAGACAACTACTGTACTGATGGAGAGCAGAGTGTTGAGCTACAAAACAAACCCTTCATATGACCAGCATGGCTTCAATAAACAATATTTCATTAGCTAAAACAATTATCAATTCTGAATATCAAGTTGCATGAAGAGAAAACATGAATCATATAACAAATATGCAGTAGTAATAGGGAAATTTACATGGATGCATTGAATGTGTGGGACACAAATGTGTGAAGCTGAAACACTTCAATTTCTTCAATGGTTTTAGACATTTGTCTTATCAACTACCAATGCCTCCAACTCTGCCAGGCTGTTTTGTAGCTCTCCATGCAGAGGTAAATACTGAAATGAATGTCTTACCTTGGTGGGGCCCAATCATGCCGTGTGCAGTCCAGCAGTGTGCCAACGTAAGTTTTGCCACGCCAGGTAACATTCACCACAAGTACCCCTGAAACAATAGTGAGTTTAGAAGGTTGCATTAGCACAGTTCCTATAACATAAACTATTCTTCGGATATGACTTTGGTAAACATACATTTTTATGGGAAGTACAGTACAGTAGAAACAAGAGCATTAACCTAAGGTTCTCTATAAACAAGCCAAGCTCACATAGTTAATATATTTTTAGAGACTACAGTAATTATTATTTGTTGTCTATGTATAAACTAAAAACAGTTTAAGGTAAAGATGAGTGCTCTGAAAGTGAGTATAAAATCTTTTAAAGGGGACTTCTATATAACATATATCTACATACAGTATACAAGTATATTTTAAATAATTGAAGAGAGAAAAAAAGCCTTGCATGAAATGAAAAGAAGCACTAAAGATTTCATGAGGGAAATTAGTATTACCAGGGGTAATATACATTATGGTAAACTGCTAGAGTAGGTCCTGGTGAGAAAATAATAATAACAACTAAGAAACAGATTAGGGTCATAAAATAAGTTATTTACGGCTCTGACTTCCAACACAACCCAGGCCCACAAATTTGCTAAAATTCATTAGAGCAGAACCATTCTGATATACTGTACTGTACTGTACACCATTTGCACAGTAACATGCAATGGTGTTCAAAAATGGAGCAAAAGTAGATTTAACACTATTCTTTTCTTCTTATTATTACAGAGATAAATTTTGATGGCACACAACAACTGATTAAAGACAGACAGACAGACAAACATACAAATAAATCGTTATACAAAGTTCCCCACCAGGTGAGGTTATGTTAGAGGTGCAAATTATGAAAAAGCAAGAGAATATTATGATGGTGAATATTCCAAAAGGAAGGGCGGGGCAGAGAGAAGCAAACAATACAGTACTCACCCCCCTCGGTCTCGTGCCAGACGATGCCCTCCAGCATGACTGAGGTACCTGGCTCACAGGGACCAAGGCAGTCAGGGTCGGTGATGGTGGCCACGCTTGTTCCTACGCACACGTCGCGTCGTGACCCACCCTCCTCACCCTGCAACACAAGCATTTTATAAGTCTACCGTCATTCTACTGTTAACATGCAGAGTTTATTTAGTACATGACATTATACCTCGCACGGCCATACACTTAATAGTTCACCCTCCCCATACACAGAAGAGATACACCACCAGATCATAATTTTATAACCACAATAACCATAGTAAGTGGCAGCATATTGAATCATTAAAAAGAAAAGTGGTACTTGGCTCAGTTATAAACAGGAAAATACGTCAGAGCGGCGTGGACAAGGATTAGGTCACACCCCATAATGTCCTCCTGAGTCACGAGCTGTTTATTGATAACTCCTACAGGAGGTGAATCACTTGTAGCACTTCTGACGGATTTTCTATAACCCTCATCACCCCATGGATATAATGACAAATAAGACTTGTGGAGTTTAACAAGTCTCGCGGTGGTGTTAAACAAATCCCGTGGTGTTAAACAAGTCTTGTGAATTTGGTGTCACATATGGGAACTTAAATATCTCACTAGAGTAAAAAAAAACTAAATAAAACGACTCTTAAGTGATAGATAAATAAAAATAATTATTCAGTAAAATCATTTTAAAGTTCACATGGATTCAGCATATTCAGTATACATAGTCAGTACAGGTATACAATGTGCACAGATTGCAGGTAATCATTATACACCTCCGTACTCATACAATATACTGTAATTGAATATCGATTATACTAAATAAAAATATATATATGTACCTGTATGTATGTACTGTATGTATGTATTTCTACTTCACACATCGTTCACGTAATCAATACTCAATATCGTAAGTCATTTATAAACTTCTCAGTACTGAATGTTAATACCGTACTGTACAATGAAAAATATTCTACACATGGGTAGAATACATACATACTTTATTACAACCAATATTATTATTATAGCTGACATTCTAAACGTTTTTTTTCTTGTATATATTTCTACAATTTTTATTGTACAATGAACCTAACCATAATAATAATCCTGTGGACGTTGACTTAACTAATTCCAGCCATTGGTTTATCCGTCATCCTCACCAAGTGACTCGTGAAAGTGGTGTAAAGACTAGATATCCTTTATACACAATACTGATTTAATATAAAAAAATAAATATATATATTTTTACCTTCACAATATTAGTATCCTGCCCTTTTATAAGACTTAAGACAATGGTTGGTCAGCTTAAAGGTTACATGCACTGTTGGAATTCAGTCTCGGTATTAGTAATTTAACCGATCTGAGATATATATATATATATATATATATATATATATATATATATATATATATATATATATATATATATATATATTTCGTTTAATGTCGCGCAATACAACTTATAATTATATTTTATCTGTATTGTTATTTAATTCGAATTGTTACGGTGTTAAACGTAAAGAAGTAAATAATTAATGAAACCACTGAGAAAAGATAGTGGTGAGGAGACTTGCACTCAACCAACATCACTACCACCACCAAGGCAAGCTAGTCACGGCCAGGAACTGTACACTGCAAAACACACACACACACACACACACACACACACACACACACACACACACACACACACACACACACACACACACACACACACACACACACACACACACAGTTTATCCCTAATTAGTTTTTGGATTACCAGATGATTAGAAACCCCAGCTTATTTTCCCTGATTGAACACCCAAGCTTATTTCACCTAATGATCAGAAACCCCAGCTTATCTTAGACAATGATTAGACACTAAAGTTACGAAACACCATTATTAGGTTTCAAATAGAAGTTGGACAGGTGCATGAGTGATAATGCTCGGGGTGTAAACAGTGGCTGGCTGGCTCACAGTTTATACTCTGGAGGTGTGGGCTAACATGAAGCGTATTTCTGAAGGATTACGTAAGTCTTGTGTGACGTCATACAGTGCTATATTGTTTCATACCCTGTGACGTCATACGGTGCTATATTTACTCCTGTGACGTCATACAGTACTACATTTAGTATCTCGTGACGTCATACAGTACTACTTTTACCCCAATGACGTCATACAGTACTACATTTACCCCAATGACGTCATACAGTACTACAGTTACCCCAATGACGTCATACAGTACTACATTTACCCTCATGACGTCATACAGTACTAGTTACCCCAATGACGTCATACAGTACTAGTTACCCCAATGACGTCATACAGTACTACATCTACCCTCATGACGTCATACAGTACTACATCTACCCTCATGACGTCATACAGTACTACATTTACCCTCATGACGTCATACACTACTACATTTACCCTCATGACGTCATACAGTACTACATTTACCCTCATGACGTCATACACTACTACATTTACCCTCATGACGTCATACAGTACTACATTTACCCTCATGACGTCATACAGTACTACATTTACCCTCATGACGTCATACAGTACTACATTTACCCTCATGACATCATACAGTACTACATTTACCCTCATGACGTCACACAGTACTACATTTACCCTCATGACGTCATACAGTACTACATTTACCCTCATGACGTCATACAGTACTACATTTACCCTCATGACGTCATACAGTACTCTTTAAGTACATGAAAGAGACAACGCAAGGTTACTATATTAATTGACCTAATCTAACCACACAGCCTCATTTATAATACTACTGTACTTTTAACAGTTAATCTTAATTTATTACCTAACTTAACCTAATCTATCCTAACCTAAGAAGATAAGTGGTAATATTATGACTTGCGGTTGTCACACACACACGCACACACACGCACACGCACGCGCACGCGCACACGCACGCACGCACACACACACACACACACACACACACACACACTAAGACAAAAGAGCTAAGTAAAATAGACCAGTTCTATTAGATTTCAATTTAATTTAGACAATAGGAACAGGTGTCGCACTAGAGCAGGGTATTTCACCAATCAAGAGTCACTTCAAATCGACATTCCTTTAGCTTATTCTGTACCCAAAAAGAATTTGATCTGCCCAATCCTTTACAAGCATTCCTTTTAAGTCTCTTTATTACACCTGATAAGCACTGTATGTTTATCTCAAGAAATTTCTAAAGTAACCCAAGACCTGGATTAAAGAATAAGTGAATACAATACCATTCCGTCTTCATCTAACTGTGCTAAGTCGGTAGTTAAGGTGATATTTGAATTATCTGATAATGGGAGCGTGGACGTGGTGTCATGAAGTGTTGCAAGAGGTACAGTATATAATGGATGACGGCACACGACAAACTCACTCACACCGGCAACCGTCCATCCCTCTAACATTACGTAACGTCAACTTAATCATAATAGCTAAAAACTAACAGCATTATAAAGGAAGATCATCATTTAAACTATATACGGGTTGTGTTGCCTTGTGTTGTGTTTCATTGTGTCATGTGCCCGTCTGTGTTTGAAAGCCCCTCTGGGATTTAAAGTTCTTCCGTTACCTGTTCTCATGCATAAACAGCTACCATCTTCTTTGTCTTTAAAACCGGACCAGTACTACAAGACCGTGCCAGGGTACACCTCCAGACCGACAACAGGCTCGGTCACGGTCCCTGGCTCCACGCACACCAAACTTATGACTCTCACTTGACAAACTCTGCCCCAGCACGCACCACTACACCACGAGCTTCAACACTCCACAACGTTCACGAAACACTAGCAACAACTACTCTAATTCAGTTTGATAATAAATGATAAAAACACAATCAAATGCACCATAAATAGAGCACCGAGACTCAATTTCCTATACAAAAAATCCCCAGCCAGTGAGAGGACTGATCCCGCAGGGGCAGCCGCTTTGCTCGGTCCGGGGCCATGGGCTCTGGGCCGGGGTGGCCCTAAACTAGACCTCAGCTGACTTATCAGTAAGATATCCGTTATGTTTTGAATTAAAACAGGTCACACTCCACACGACAAAGAATAAAAAAGTAAATTAATACGATTTCAGAGAAGCATGAATAACACATCAATTAAGATGTAGTAAACTATGAACTGAAAATACAATGATAACAAAAGCCCAAAATTTAATTTCAGGAAATGATAACAGAAAAAAGCTGAACGCTTTGTGCACCCATCTACCAGCACATTAAATAGCAAACTGAACCCTTGAACACTCGGTACATGCTTTAATGCTCCATAAATTGTCTCATCTGCCAACTATCACTCATATCTACTTAATTTTCACGTCAATCCCATCACCCCAAGCCACGATAAACTGACAGAAAGTGTAACAATAATTTCAACAGCCGATATCGTTTCCCCAGTCCTCGACCCTCCACCCTACTCCCCGACCCTCCCTCCCTCGACCCACCAACACCCTTCCTCCCCAGCCCCGACATCAACATCCCTGTCACCGATAAAGCCGTTCATTAACCTCTTAAGGTGCCCGAGATGAATATAGCAGCACGTGTTCACTCAGCTGTGGGCCCGACAACTTCATCACGATATATTTGTCTTAATCAAGAGCCTTTAAGAGCGGGACGGTGGAATAAACGGGGTTCAGTAAATTCCCTTTGTAAACCTGAGTGGAATTCGGGATTCTGGCGTCGTGGTAGCGCGTGCTTAAAGTGCAGCAGCTCCACCAACCACGGCCAACTACGACCAACACGATTACTACGGGAACTACGGACTACCCAGACAACTACCACCACCACAACAACAAACCCATCCTAGCAAATAGTAGCTCCTGTTCACGGCGTGCGAAGGTGTTCAACGACATTATTTAACCAGGAAAGTCAACAACAGAGGCCTGACTTGAAGGCTCCGTACAACACAGCTGACGTCTCTTAATGTTGCTCATAATATGCATGTACACAACCCGGGCCAGGGGATCAGTGGGGGAGTGTCATCACAGCTTACAACCAAATCACATGGCAAGACTTCTGGTACATGACGATATACAGTATATATTATAACACATTTTTAACCCTACATTATTTTCTGTAGACATATCACCCTTGAGGTTTGCGT